ACTGGTACCGTTACAAACTAAACTCTCGATCTCATCATGAGAAGATTACTCGCTGGGCTTCGGGGGCCAGCATTCTGGGTTATACATGGGTTATATAGGGTTATCTTGGCATAATGGAAATGAAAATGGAAACTACCATTCTGGACTATATCCCAATTCTTGGTAGGGGTAATTCCTTCAGGGGACATACTTTGTTGTCATCACTCTTCACCCTTTTTCAAGGGTTCCTGGGTGAACGACTCACCCGAAGATTGAACCGTACACTGTCGCAACATAAGGCCGTACTACCTTCTGATGTCGTCCCTACATTATGTTGTTCCTGCATCTCCCCACTTCGCGAAGCTTCGCATATCCCAGAATTAGAACGCCCAAGGATTTCAAGAAATTTTAGAATGATACGCAAACCCCTAGGAAACCCTCAAACCTTTACACTTAACCAAACGGTTTTCGCAAAGCACCATCAAGTCAAGTCACTGCATCGCGGCACCATGCCGCTACGTCGAAGGCATGGAATACCCCCTTGTCCTGCAACTGGGTCTTCTTCAGGTCACCTAAAACCCTCTTACAGGGAGCTACCCTGGACATCTCAATAGTAAAAACCGATCATACATGATATGTACTTTCGCTCTTTGGACGCCTTACGTAATTTGGGGGAGATATAGATACCTAAACCCTCCTATGTAGTTCCTTTTTGGGTTGTATATTATAATCCCTTACCCAAAAACCATAACAAACCCAAAAAGGAACTACATTGGAGCCCTTGGGTATACACACCGTATACCGTTTCGAGCTTTGGGTTCCCTCCAACGCCCAGATTCCTGGTTCTTGGGTGCAGGGTTTAGGGTTTAGGGTTCTGCGTCGTGGGGACGGCTATACAGGAGTATGTCCAGATTATGGTAGGGATCCATTCGTGAACCCTGCACCTTGAACCATGGCGTTTGGGATTTACGGGATCAGGGCCGACATGCTAGGGTTTTAGGAATTCGAGTCCGCAGGGCTCACCTACAATGTGACAAGAAGCTTTTGTATCCCGTAGAGGAGCATCCATCATCTTCCGCTGTGTGGACGTCTCCCAAGTCTAAACCCCTTGAGCCTAAACTGAGCAACCATAAACCCTGAAGCTCTCAACACCAAGCCCGAAGCCTACATACGACCAGTGCTATTGCAAAGCAATATTAGCGTTATCCAGAACATAGCCGGAGCGTTCCTCTACCCAACCGCAAACCAGTCGTAGTATAAAGGATCTCCAACCCAGAATCAAGCCTAGACAGTTTTTTTTAGGATTCCAATTTCGAAGAACCCACAAAATATGGCGTGCGCCTACTCAGCGAAAAAGCACAACTAGCCTGGACCAAGTCCTGGTGGTGCAAGTATATCATCCAGGACCCTCAGCCCTGAACCCGTGACACCCTAAAACCCTTAACCCTATCACCCTGACAGTAGAATGAAGGGTTCCAGGGTTGGCTACGACATTAGGACCGCAGGCCTGGAACCTTTGAAGTAAAGGATCCAAGCAGGAGCCTAAGCCCTAAACCCGGTTTAGGTTTTAGGGTTTGGGGTTTGAGGTTTTAGGGTAAACCCTCCCGTCCTTTGGCAAGTCTAAAGTAAGGGTGACTTCCAGCAAGCACCAGGTACGTTCCTCAGCAGCCCGATGGCAGTCCCCTAAAAACTCAACCCCTCCAGCGCTTGGGGGAATCCAACAAGTTGGACGACCTCTTGAGGGGTTTAGATAGGGATGTTTACGGCTTGGGGATTCACAAAGTTGGGCGACCCTTTGAAGGGGTTAGAGAGGTAGCTATGTAACATTGCACCAAATATATATATATATACACATGTACATATGATTAGTATCAGGGTTGTTGGATTCGGGGTTTAGGGTTTAGGTTTAGGGTCATGCCCTTGGTTGGGGGTCTCGGATTTCGAGGTGATAGCCTTGGTTTTGGGTTTCCCGTTAGCGTTGGCTCGGAGTTTCGTCGCAGTTCCGCGGCCAAACGGAAACAGCTTGTGCTTCAGCGGCCCTGCTTTTGTGTTCTTCCATTAATGAACGTGCGTCTCTTGGCCACAATCCCTCCCACAGTTCCCTAAACCCTAAACCCAGAGGGTCCAAGTACCCAATAATTAGGTACTTGGGTTGGGGGTAATAGTAATTATAGTATAGGTTTTGGGTGAGTATATGATTCTTGGGTACTTGGACCCTTAGGGAAACCCTAAACCCTCTGTCCGAACCCTACGCCCCCAAAACCACGCAACGGATCAACCCTGAGCCAGCAACCTAGGCCGCAAAACGCGGTTTAGGGTTTAGGGTTTAGGGTTTAGGGTAAGTCCAAGCCCGACGCCCGTTTCGAACGCCAGCAATGCTGGCCTGTATTACCCTTATTATGGCCCGTATATGTACCCCATAGTCACTATATAACACTAAATAATGATCTTTAGGGGTTTAGGGTTTAGGGGGTTATATTGGGGGTAATGGAAATAAAATGGAAGCTACTCTAGCGTATATTAGGGTATATGTTGGAGTTACCTATCCTAATCCCCAAACATGAATCCTTGGTGCATCAACCGTTGGGAATCGCCAAGGCGCCAAGGCTGTCCCGGCACTATCCAGGAGCAAAAGAGTTCCCACACACTTCGGGCTAAGCAGCACCTGTTTTGCATGGAAACATCATGGTACTACGGAAACCCCTAGAAATCACGGTAGAAGTTCTTGTTTAGGGTTTAAGGTCTAGGATTTGGGGCTTCTGGTGATTTGAATTCAGGGGCCTACCCTGCTCAAAACTAACCTGGAAGCTCATATAACTCTCTTCCCAAAAGGTACCGGTAGTCTGAGGTTTCATGTTGGCCTAAGGAGGGCCAAGGCTTTGCTTTGGAAGGCGTCAGGCGGAATTCCGCTAACAATTGAGGCTTCGCATTGTGGATTTAGGATGGCTTAGGCATGCGTTAGGGTTGAGGGATTCAACCCCTAAACTTTAAACAGCAGTCTATGTGACTCTGCGGAATATCTCCGAAGCCATGACATGACATGTGATGCTAGACACTTAGGATAGTCCGGGCTTGCTTATTCCAACCCCAAACCTGCAACCCCACATCTGAAAACCCAAAGCCCTAAATCCTTGGGCGGGGTAGTGCACTGGCTTTCATGCAAATTGCTTTCTCAAATCCGTTCTTAAACCCTAAGCACCGAATAGAACCATCGTAGTTCCCATTTCTTTTTCGTATAGAAGCACCTAAACACTGAATATTCCTATCATAGTTCCAATTTTATTTGAAACGCATTCACAGACCCTAAGCATTGAATCGCCAAATCATTTTCTTTTCGAAGCCTTTCTGAGCCCTCTAGCACTAATTTCATCGTAGTTTCTGCTTTTCTCTTCCATTGTTAACCCGTACTACCATAAAATGACAATGAGTGGCCGGTAGGCTACCACACCGCTTGCAATCGGAGTATGAAGGCCTAGGCCGAAGGATCAGAAATCCTGCAAACTGAGGTTGTGTCAGACACACATGTCACATACATCCTATTTGCCTCCAGCTCCACAGGAATGTAAGCGATGGATCTTTCACAGAAGCTTTTAGCAGATTCGCATGAATTTCCAACAGCCCCAGCACATAAGCATGCAATGTCGGGTTAGAGTTTAGGGTGTGCCAACATACGGGTACTTGAGCCCCAGAAAACAAATACGGGCCGGCCGGTGTTGGTAATTCAAAGCTACGACCTGACAGTGCAAGCCGGGAAGTTAGAATAACAGCTATGCTGGATCCCAGTTACCAGGGGATCCTCAATAAAGGGAAGTTGTTCAACACCTATCCAGTTATTGACCGTTTTCGGTGGGCCCAATGAAGACAAGTGTTCTGCACATTGTTCTGGACCTAGAGCCATGAAGTGTAGGATCAGCCTTTCTGTTGACACAGCGCATCTGTTCGCATACTTGTTATTGCTCCCATCTCCTCCAATTACGCGGAGGATATCTAAGCTTTCTCCTTGTACGAGTTTGCTCATAGGAGCCCATTTGAAATATTGTCTGAACTCCTTAGAGGGGGTTATATGGGGACTATATAGGCATGATAGGGGTCACTAAGGCTAGTCGTTTGGACTATATCCATTTATTTTGGAAGCTTTCTGTTGCTGCAGAGGCTCCCTTTTTGGCTGGGGTGCCCGTGCGCTATAATGAGCATCCCACATCTCCTCCCACTCAATACCTAAAATGAGGGCAAAGGTTTGGGGTTTAGGGCATATCTCCGGGTATTTCCTTGTTCTGTAGGAGGACCCGGGAAAATCCTACAAAAGCCATGAGCTTCTTTTGCCCGCCAAGCTGCTTAGGGGTTCCGGGAACTAGTAAGCTTATAATTCCCCGTAAGTAGATAGAATATGGGGTATATGGGGATCTTATTATAGCATACCCTAAGCCATATTCTATCTACTTAAGGGGACTATAAGTAGGAGGCACAGTAAGAAACAGTAGTGCTATCTGGCATGTGAACTACAAGAGGCTGCCTGGGAAAGAATCCACCTCCCCCATCCCCAGGGTCCTCAAGAGGGTTTGTTTAGGGTTTAGGGTTTGGGGTTTAGGGTGTTTGGGGTTTGGGGTTTAAGGTGTTTAGGCTTTTCGAGGGCAATTAGACTTAGCTAGTGCCACTCTTTACCAGCTCCGGTATGTCCATGCGCGGTCGGCGAAGAATGCAAGTCAGGGACGGGAATCTCCAACACCCAGTCCCGGTGACATTGCAGACGCTTCCCCGGCACCCCTTGTGGTCCACTGCAACCCTAACCTGGACTTTGTCAACAGGTTTTTCCAGTCAGCTCTCATCTTCAGCAGATACCATCATCATAACCTCAAACCCATACTCAACCAAGATACCCTCTGACTGGTTTCCACGAGGTTTCGAATTTATTGTTTAAGGGCTCAAGCCGCCAAGGCGTCCAAACTCAGGCGCCTCAAGTACTGACGTCCTTTTGCAGTCCTCGTATGCAAGAATGCCTTAAGATGCAAGATACACGGCAGTCAGAATGTACACATATAGTGCCACACGAACACAGAGATCCCTACAAAAGGATTTAGAAAGGAAAGCGGAGTGGTTCCTGCATCTTCAACCTTTTCAACTTCATCGTACGGAGTGGTTCCTGCATCTTCAACCTTTTCAACTTCATGGGACGGAGTGGTTCCTGCATCTTCAACCTTTTCAGCTTCATCGGACGGAGTGGTTCCTGCATCTTCAACCTTTTCAACTTCATCGTACGGAGTGGTTCCTGCATCTTCAACCTCTTCAACTTCATCGTACGAGAGCCAGGACTGCCAAGAGGAAGAATTTGACTTCAACCAACGGCAGGCCGCATCCAAATGAGACCCGTTAGTTTTCACATCCATCATCATGGAGTTCAAATCCTCAACTTGGAGGTGGAAGCTTCGGACCAAGACTTCAACACTGGGCGCCAGCACAGACAAGTCTTGACTGATAAGCTTTGAGATGGCATTACCCTCCAAGGATGATCGCTTGTCTCCAAGATTCCTTAGCCCACATTACCCTAGGAAGAAAAAAGTAAAGGAATGCCATACCCCAAGAAGTATAAAGGATCCCTAACATTGATCCAGATTCCGTGCGTTGGAGTCATACTCTGGGAACGTAATCTTGACAGGGTCTAGGTCAAGAAAGGTTTGATCAGGGGTCCACCAGTAAAACGCGCAGGTTACGCGTCTAGGCAGCTGCGACCAGTCTTTTGCAACTCCTAGCGCCAAGGGCATGTTGAAAGAGGTTGCCTTCTGCATAACCTCGTCCAACATCCATCCACTACCTCACTTCCCACAAGCGCAAGTTTCAACCAGCATGCACCTACAGTATCTACAAGCTATGACAAACTCGAAACTCCAAGAAAGCTGAGCTTGCAGAAGCAAGGCACCTCCAGTGAAATAAGGCACGCACTGTGAGGCATTGTCTCTACAGGCAGGAGCTAGCCAAAAGTAGCCATCCGGACAATGTGCAACAATCCGATTCCCGGAAAGCCGTCGGATTCCGTCCTCATCACCAGTGATGTTGACGTAGAGTTCGTTCGGGTAGTCCATGTAGAAACTGGTTTCGTTGCATGGATAGACACTGCTTCGATCGATGCTAGCAATGCTATCAAAGAAAAGCCCTGGCTGACTCCTGTTCCAACCAAGATAGGAGTCGAGCATTGCTCCTTATATAACTCTTTTGAACCGTGCTGGAACAGAAAAGTTATGAAAGCCTTCTGGCAGCAACAGTACCAACATGAACAACAAAACATAGAATACTTTAATGCCATAATAATACTACAGCACTAATAATGCTATAATCATACTATAACAACACCCTAAACCCTAAACCCTAAACCCTAAACAGTGTCCCAGGCTCCAGCTTCCTGGAGTGCTGTTCTCTGCACGTCCTTGGGTATGAAGACAGACTCCTGACCGACGTAGCCCATGCTGCCGGCATTGATGGGGGCCATGGCTGGAAACTGCGCTTGTAACTCAGCCAAATCTGATGCGAACCAATTCTCCAGGTTGATATGATGGTAGGTGATTGGCTGCCCACACCCACGGTCCGCCACGGTGGTGGGATTCGAGCAGCCCATCAGGGCATACAAGGCGTCCGAGCCACTTCCTGTACCTGTTTCGGTAACGTTGTAACCCAGCCTCTCCTCTATCAGGATGCGGAGCACGGAACTAGAAATTTGAGCCGCTAGATAATTATTGACCCAAAGGCCAAGTGGGTATATTTCACCGTTAGCTTGGCGAAGGTTGCGCTTCTGGTTGACTGGCAATGTATCCGGAAAGCACGTTGGGACACCGATGCTGATCATGGAAACCACCACGCCCAGGGCTAGCTTGCCGGAAGTGCGTGAGAAAAGCATCATTCGCCGAGCAGGGAACTAAATCACCAAGTGCTGGGACCGAACGGCTTTCGCATGCTGCCGGCTTGACAGGACTAATTAGACTGGAATAGATCAGCATGTTTTGTTATGGCGGAAAATACGATATATAAAGCTAAAACATAGCGCACGAACCAGGGAGGAAACGCACACCTGGCATTCGTGGTCTTGGTTGGATGGCAGCTTGTCGACAACACCCTGCTCCTCAACCCTGCAAACGAAAAGGTAAATTGGAAAGCTTGAACCCCAAAACCTTGGATCCTGGGCTAGTTTAAGGTTTCGGTCTAAGGTTTCGAGCTCTAAACTCTGAACCCTGAAGCCTAAAGCGTGGGGATCTCTAGCTGCATGATCTGCTGCAGGGCTGCAGGCTTAGTGAACGAATATTGTCACATATATATATATACACGCTAAAACGAAACACCTGGATGTTTGAGAACCCCCTGCGACTTGTGCAAGGAGCCAGAAGACTCATTTTATTGTTGCTGCGAATGCCCTAAATCCTAAACCCTCAGCTGGCTATCTGATTACAACTTCACCTTGTCCTTACCAAGGCCTAAGCAGAAAACGCCAAACCCGAAACCAATTCTGGAGGGGCCCTCCGCTGAACGCAAAACTTTGGGTCCGCAACTTCGCTTATAAGGAAGGATATGAATAGGGGACTACGTAGGTTGAGGCCCGCTGACTATGGAAGTATAAACATGCCCCTAAACCCTAAACCCTATATCCTACACCCTAAATCCTAAACCCTAAACCCTATGTCCTAAACCCTAAATCCTAGACCCTAAACCCTCCCTACGGGTTCACTTCTAACGTTGCCCCTTTGCAGGTTTTCGTAGTGTTGGAGGCCCGATT